GATGAGCCTAACAGTCCAAAACCTGAAGATATGAAGCTTATTGTTATACTATTAAGATGAAAATATTCAAATTTGATAAAGTTGATAATGAAACCTTCATTTCATTGAATTTAATGTGTGTTTAACGCCATCAATCTTGGCATGTTTCCTCATTTTATGTCCAGAAATGAGGTGCAGTCCATGTTGGAGAAGTTTGGAGGTAAGAAGCGGTTTGTATTTAATTCGTTATTGGAAAAATCATTAGGCGTAATGTCATCTTCGGTCCTTGTTAGACTACTCATGTGTCAATATAACACAACACAACATATTTCAGCATTTTGACCAAAGAAAGTATGAAATGGTTTACAGAAAAGCAGCGGTGTTTCCTCGTGTTTTATTAGCACAGTATCACATATCTGTTTGTCCTCCCAGCTGACATCAGCAAGGTGATGCAGGCCAAGAAGAAACGTCTGGAGTGTCTGACAAAGAACTACATGAAGGGAAGCCAACACAAGCTGGAGCAGCTGTGGAACAACTACCATAGCCAGAGGTTATTCCTGCTCCCTCCACTTCAAACACTCAGAGAAATGGTTGAAATTCAGTCTTAGAACAGTCACCACATCCTTTAAAACGAGCTCCAGAATCACGTCACGACTTCCTGTGAATCACTCAGCGCTTTAAAGTGAAAGACAGGGAAATTAAATCTCTTTAAATATCCTTCAAATCTGAGTTTTGTCATTTAGTGTCACCAAAAGATGCATAACTGAGCATGTAGGGAGACATTTACCTAAAAAATAGTCATTTCTGGATTCTCAGCGACTTCACGGCAGCATTGACGCGACCAGGGTGAAAAGAAAATTAGGATTTTAAAATGTCTTTAATTTCCTTCTGTTTATGCAGTTAATTAATGAATAGATCAATTAAAAGACTTGACTTCTCCAGTTTATAGCTGACGGTGAGCTCACAGCATTATACAGGCTTCAAATAAGCACCTGTACGGTGAAAGGTTGGCTGGTCAGCCTTTTAATATCAGCAGATGCAGGAGCTGGTTTTTGTTCCGGGACATCGCTTCGCTCTCTGTGCATAACTTTCTGTTTAACTTTTTTTGTTTCTCAGAGAACGTTCGTGTTATGAAAGCGAGGCGGCGCGCTCGTCCCGTGAAGAAGTGCCGTCTACAGAGCATAAACAAGAACGCTTTAGCCTCACTTCTCTGTGGGTGGTCGTTTCACTTTTAAATAAAGGCGCCTGTTGGCAGCTCTGTAAAGGCAGCGGGCGGCTGTGACCTGTCACAGACGGTGTCCTGCAGAGCGTTCTGGCCTCGGCCAGGATAAACATCAGCTCAGTCAGAACACTGCAGCTCAGCTGCTGATCCCGAGCCTGTGTAAACACAGCACTGTTTGAAAATTTCAGAAATTCGTCTTCAAACTGATGTCACAAAGGTCAGTTATTCGATAACTACATGATTGGAAATCATTTCTGCTGTGTTTGCAGGCAGAAGATGACGCAGCAGTATTCCCAGCAGGTGTCGTCAGCGCTGCAGCAGTGGGAGACCGAAGCCCAGCGAGCCGAGGAGCAGGAGGAGAAGCTCAACGTCAGTCCCCTCCGTTCACTTTAACTGCTTTAGCCTCACATACTGCACACCGACGGCTTCAGGTGCTTCACCTGTGATGGCGATGAAGAGCCATCGCCGACGTAGACTCTTCCTTTCTGTCTGCAGAATCTGTTCCGGCAGCAGCAGAAGATCCTGCAGCAGGCCAGAGTCGTGCAGAACCAGAAGCTGAAGACCG